TGATGAGCCCTGTTGGAATGTCCAAGGTCTGCAGCCAAAATGTTTGCGTGCCCAAGGCTTTAATACACCCTCCAGAATATTTTCGTGATAATATTCTGCATTTATTCTGATGCTACGGTCGATTAATACGAGCGGAGAGCGACCATCGGCTGTTATGGCGGCCCACACCATCACCATGGCCGGCGCTTGAGTTCTGGTGGCCAACCGAAGGTGCGCATTTTCAGCTGACTTGACCTCTTTGGCAAGTAAACACGAGCGGATCATTTTGTTTGTTTACAAACTGCTGGACAACGAATGTTTTCTCATCGGAGAACGGAGAAAACCAAATTCGACAGTTCACCACTTTCGGCTAAGGGAAGCCACTTTTTAGCTCTTTTGAGTCGATTTTCTTTCTGTTGCGGTGTAAGTTCTTACACTTTTGGGAATTTCAATGGCTTTACCCCGAGCTCATTTTTCAATATTTGCTGAGTGGAATGTTGCAATATGTTCAGCTCACGAGCCATTTTTCGGCCACTGCGAGGTGGGTTTCGATCAAATCGCTTCTTTACTTATCGAATTATTTCAGCTAATGTTACTGTTTTCTTCCGTCCACTTCCTTGACATCGGGCTACGTTACCAGTATCCTCGCTATTGGTAACGAGCGATGATACGAGGAACAAAAGATTTATTCACATTTAAATTTTGGAGTGCTCTAACGATAGCCCCTTGCGGTTCTCCAGACAAATATAAAGAAATCACACTATTACGCCTGAATTCCATCCGGAATAACTTTTTTTCTAGAAAATTCTTACCAAAATGCTTTTGAAGGCTTGTAAACAATATAATGAGCTGTCACTGGAATAATTTTAAAAGATGTCGGACAAGTGGCATTTCTAAGCCAGTCTGAATTTGGATGCAGTTTTTTTTTCATCTCACCCTGTATGTTCTTTATTCAAACCACTGTCATTCCTCATCATCATCATCACCATCCTCACTATCCATACTTCTATATGCATGAGCTTGTATATATGTAGAGCAGGGCTATGTGTCAGTTCGATGCAACCATAAAGTGCAGTTGTGGTGTAAACATTGGCCAGTCTCCAGATGCAGGTGGGGATTTTTCGAAGGCTTAAGCGACCAACATCACCTGAGATGAGTGTCAGATTGCAACCATCAATAGTTGTCAGTTGTGAGAGTGGACACAAACATGGAGACACTCGAAAAAGGATACACACACACATGAGTGTCCTTAAAGACACAAACGCACACACTCACATAAGGACCTCCCAAAAAATGACTCAATATGTGTGTGTGTGTGTGAATACACAATATCAGTAGCCCTTAGTAGTGGTCGGTTAGCTAGAACTGGCAATGACATTAACCGGCTTTTGTCGGGTGGCAAATTGAAACACAAAATGTGACAATACCTTGGCTAAGTGTTTGGGCGTGTGAGACACGTAAAAGTCACGAAAGGGCCATGGAGAGAAAGTTGAAAAAAAAATCGTTTGAGCGTTTTTTGGTTATTTCCAAAATTCATGACAGCACTGCAGTACCTGTCGGTTACCTTTTTCTTTTTTTGGTGGAGATAGATGCCTTAACTAAATTGAATTTATTAGCATGACCGGCTATTTGCATTGGCCCAATACTGTTTGAAAAAGAAGCAGGTTTTTCGAAGGTATAGGAGATTTAACCAAAATAGTTGATGGGCAATAGTTTTTTCTTTTCGTTTTTTTTTTCTCTTCAAGGGAATTTGGGAAATAAATTGTAAAATTTATTAGAAATTGAATTGAGGGCAAGGGAGGATTGTAAAGTTTTTGGTTTATGAGGATATGTCAAGGATTCGATGGAAATCGAATAAATTTTTAAAATCCCAAAGAGAAAAAAATTCTTAAAAGGCTACGCTAATGGCTGAAGTAATATTCTAAAATGGTCCAAATTATTGCATCTTAACTGACCTTTAAACAAGTTCTCCACTCAACCAATGTTCGATTATTTAAATACAAGGTGAGATGAAAAAAAACTGCAACCAACTTCAGACTGCTGTCGTTTCTAAGCCACTCGTCCGACCGCTGTTAAAATTATTCCAGTGACAGCTAATTATATGGTTTACAAGCGTCCGAAAGCATTTTGGTGAGAATTTTCCAGAAAAAAAGTTATTAGTGGCGGAATTCAAACGTGAAAGTGTGATTTCTTTATATTTGGCTGGAAAGCAACAAGTGGCTATCGTTGGAGCACTCCAGCATTTAAATGTGAATAAATCTTTTGTGTCTCGTACCATTGCTCGTTACCGTGATATTGATAGCGTAGCTCGACGTCAAGGAAGTGACGGACGGAAGAAAACAGCAACATCAACAGAAATGGTTCGAAAAGTAATGAAACGACTTGATCCAAAACTCGCGCCGCAGTGGCCGAAAAATGGCTCGAGAGCTGAACATATGGCAATATTCCATTCGGGAAATATTGAACAATGAGCTCGTGATACTGGCAGCGTAGCCCGACGTCAAGGAAGTGGACGGAAGAAAACAGCAACATCGGCAGAAATGCTTCGAAAAGTTAAGAAACGACGTGAACCAAAACCGGCGTGGCCGAAAAATGGCTCGTGAGCTGAACATATTGCAATATTCCTTTCGGCAAATATTGAAAAATTAGCTACCAGTATCACGGTAGCGTAGCCCGACGTCAAGGTAGTGGATGGAAGAAAACAGCAACATCGGCAGAAATGCTTCGAAAAGTCAAGAAACTATGTGAACCAAAACCGGCGTCGCAGTGGCCGAAAAATGGCTTGAGAGCTGAACATATGGCAATATTCCATTTGGCAAATCTTGAAAAATGAGCTCGTCTACTGGTAGCGTAGCCCGAGGTCAAGGAAGTGGACGGAAGAAAACAGCAACATCAGCAGAAATGGTTCGAAAAGTGTAGGAAGCGACTTGATCCAAAACCCGCGTCGCAGTGGCCGAAAAATGGCTCGTGAGCTGAACATATTGCAATATTCCATTCGGCAAATATTGAAAAATGATATGAGCTCGGGGTTAAGCCATTGAAATTCCAAAAAGTGCAGGAGCTTACACCGCAACCGAAAGAAAATAGACTCAAAGAGCTAAAGAGTTGCTTCGCTTGGCCGTTTGGTTTTTTTTCCGATGAGAAAACATTCGTTGTCCAGCAGTTTGTAAACAAACAAAATGATCCGCTCGTGTTGACTTGCCAAAGAGGTCAGCTGAAAATGTGCACCTTCGGTTGGCCACCAGATTTTAAACGCCGGCCATGGTAATGGTGTAGGCCGCCATAACAGCCAATGGTCGCTCTCCGCTCGTATTACTCGACCGTGGCATTAGAAAAAGTGCCGAATATTATCGCGAAAATATTTTGGAGGGTGTATAAAAGCTTTGGGCACGCAAACATTTTGGCCGCAGACCTTGGAAATTCCAACAGGACTCAGAATAAATGCCGAATATTGTAGCGAAAATATTCTGGAAAGTGTATTAAAGCCTTGGGCATTGCAACAGGACTCAGCAGGACTCAGAATAAATGCCGAATATTATAGTGAAAATATTCTGGAGGGTGTATTAAAGCCTTGGGCACGCAAAAATTATGGCCGTAGACCTTGGATATTCCAACAGGACTCAGCAACATCGCACTCAGCACGCCACAGTCACCCAAGAATGTTTACAAAATGAAGTTCCTCGCTTCATTTCCAGCGCACAATGGCCACCAAAATCTCCGGATACCAATCCGTTGGACTATTGTGTCTGGAGTATTTTGAAAATCAAAGTTGGCACTAAAAAATACAAAAGTGTCGATCACCTCAAGCAAGCGATTCGCCGTGAATGGGTCAGTATACGGCAGAGCAACATTCGGGCAGCCTGTGACGGTTTCATTGGCCGTTTGAAGGCCATAATTCGTGCCAAAGGTGACCAACTCGAACAAATCTGCACATATTCTAAAATTTTATTGCCGAAAATAATGTCAAAAATATGGCGTTTGACTTTGTTGCAGTTTTTTTTATCTCAACCTGTATTTGATTGTCCCAGAAAAATATTTAAAAAACCTCAGGTAATTGCTTAGATGATCCCCTGAAATTACATTACGAAAAGAATACATAATCTGCTCTTTGCTGATCTTTAAAAAGTGCGACCTGAGGCGTATAAGTGTTGACAGCACGTATACGCTCCATATCAGACATAATGAAAATTATTCAGATGTTTCCGAAAGAATATACTCAGAAATCCAAGTAAAGGGGTCTGGTGAATCCCAAAATAAATCCTAAATAAATCACGTTAAGGGGTCCGATTATGGCGTTTGACTTTGTTGCGTTTTTATCTCACCCTGTATTTGATTGCCCCAGAAAAATATTTAAAAAACCTAAGGTAATAGCTTAGATGATCCCCCGAAATGACATTACTTTACTTTATTACTTATACGCTCCAAATCTGACATAATGAAAAATATTCTGTTGATTCCGAAAAATATACTCAGAAATCTAAGTAAAGGTATCTGATGACTCCCAAAATAAATCCTAAAAAATCACGTTAATGGGTCCTACTATACCCTGAACTAATATTTTGAAGAGGTCAACAGTATAGACTTGAAACTGAATTTTTAAAATTTTTAATCTAAGGCGTATGAGTGTTGACAACATGTATACGCTCCAAATCTAACATAATTAAAATATTCCGATGAATTCGATAGAATATACTCAGAAATCCAAGTAAAGGGGTCTGATGACTCCCAAAATAAATCATAAAAAAATCACGTTAATGGGTTCGATGATACCCTGATATAATAATTGAAAAAGGTCAACGATATTGACCTAAAACTGAATTTTTGAAAATTTTATCGTAAGGCGTATGAGTGTTGACAACACGGATACGCAATATGTTTCCTAATGCGTATGAGTGTTGACAACCCTTATACGCTCCAATGGTACTACAACCTCCCACCTTCAACATCGAATCTATTTTGAAGAATTTTATTTTATTTATTTAATAATTTATTCTCTTTTTCTTCCCCTCCTCTCTTTACAGCCCTCTCACTATGTCACCATCACGACGCCGCATGATCAGACGGATGCCGCCGATAAGGCTGAGAAAACGGCACGCATCAAACAATTGGTTGGCCAGCTACAAAATAATCTTTGCAATGTCTCGGTGATGAGTGATCCCGACTTGGATTCCCTATCCAACATGGATCCCAACTCCTTGGTGGACATAACTGGCAAAGATTTCATGGAGCAGCTAAAGGATTCAGGCAGGTTAGGGGGAGAGGCCCAGATGTGGTGGTTATATCCCCAACTTTGTATACCTGACACATCTATGTCTCTATTTTTTACGTTCTTTGCTTTCCAATTCACCATTTTCCGCATGCCTTGAAAAATTTATACTCGTTCATTTAAATATCGCATTTTTTCGATGCAAATCCTCACGACCTTTGACATTGGTAATCAAAGTAATTAAAGGAAGCTTTTAACGGCCAATACAAAATTCATAAATTTTTAGTGCCACTTTTTTTTGGTGGCATTTTTTGCGAAAATTGTTTTCCGTTCATAAATTATTTACAAATCAATGATAAAAATGTTCTTCCCCTACCCTTCGCTCACGCTCTTGCCAACCATTTTCAATGGAAATGGGAAATTAATGTCATTACTTCTTTATCCTTTTATACCCATCAAATTTATGTCCAGCCACTCCATTGCCAATTGAAATGAATCGGTTAAAAGTTTGTTTTACGTTTTTTGTTGTTTTTTTTTCGTTTGTTTATGTGGTTGTTGTATTGCATGCCGAGCTTTTTTTGTTTTTAACATTTATGGGATTTCACCACAGGACTCACAAAAGGCAAGGCATTAAAGTGGCCTGGGCTAAAGGAATTTTTAATAATTCTTTGAGGGTAAGAGCAGCGAAGGCTACCCTGCCTAATTAATGGTCATCATGGGCAATTTAAAGAGCATAAAAGTGGATTTTTAACATCCTTTTTGAAGCACCCTCTATGGCAAATTTATTTTATCGGGACAAATGTTTTTCCGGACTTCAAATCTGGAACTTTTAGGTTTAAGATCTTTGTCGGCTCAGTTTGGATCCGTAATCCATAATTTTTAAATCGATTTATTCAAGGACAATCGGGTATTTTTAAGAGGATTTGTCAGGGACTATCAGGTTTTTTTTGGAGACGAAGAGGACTTTTATTGTGGACATTTGAAGAATTGTATACAAGCATATCTAGGATACAATATTTGAACTTTGTAGAGATAGAATCCAAATAGAACCTTAACAAGTGGTGGTTTGGGGTAAAACCAAGGTCCAGTGTAAGTACTTTTTGTTTTTTGAGAATATCTAGACCCAAAATTCGAACGACGATGGAGTAGATGACTTCCATGGATATCTGCTATGACCTCTATGGTCATATACAGTAGAGTAGATGACTTCCTTGGACATCTGCAGTAGAGTAGATGATCTTCTTGGACATCTGCAGTAGAGTAGATTATCGCCTTGGACATCTACGATGAAGAAGATGACATTCGTATACATCTACGACGAAGTAGGTGATATTTTTGGGCATCTTCGATAGAGTAGATGACCGTCGTGAACATCTACGACGGAGAAGATTAACTTCGAGGACATATACGATGAAGTAGATGACATTCGTGGACATCTATGATAGAGTAGAACTCCTTTGTGTGCATCTACGCTGGAGTAGATAACCCCCATGGACATCTATGACGAAGTACATGACCTTCGAGGGCATCTTAGGTCTAGTAGATGACATTTGCGGACATCTCAGATGGAGTAAATTACCTTCGTGGATATCTACTGTGGAGTAGAAGGCCTCCATGGACGTTTAAAAAGAACAGATCACCTTCGGTGACATCTACGATGGAGTAGATGACCTTCGGTGACATCTACGATGGAGTAGATGACCTTCGTGGACACCTACGTTGGAGTAGATGACCTTCGTGAACATCTACGATGGAGTAGATTACCTTCGTGGACACCTACATTGGAGTATATAACCTTCATGAACACCTACGATGGAGTAAATAACCTTCGTGGACATCTACGATGGAGTATATGACCTTCGTAGAGATCTACGATAGAGTGAATGACCTCCGTGAATATCTACGATGGAGTAGATGACCTTCGTGGACATCTACGTTGGAGTAGGTGACCTTTGTGGACACCTACGATGAAGTAGATAAGCTTCGTGGACATCTACGATGGAGTAGAAAGCGTCCATGGACATCTAAAATGGAGTACATGACCTCCATGGACATCTACGATGGAGTAGATGATATTCGTGGGCATCTACGATAAGGTAGATGACATCCGTACACATCTTCGTTGTAGTAAATGACATTAGTGGGCATCTACGATAAAGTAGATGACATTCGTGGGCATCTACGATGGAGTAGATTACTTTCGTGGACGTCTACGATTGGGTGTATGACCCTAGGGGGTATCTATGATGGAGTAGATGAGCTCTGTGGACATCTGCGATGGAGTAGAGGACCTTCGTGGACATCTACGATGGAGTATATGACCTTCGTGGACATCTACAATGGAGTAGATAACCTTCGTGGACATCTACGATGGAGTAGGTGACCTTTGTGGACATCTACGTTGGAGTAGATAACCTCAAGTTTCATCTATAATGTAGTAGATAACCTTCGTGGGAATCTACGATGGAGTAGATGACATTCGTGGACGTCTACGATAGAGTATATGACCATAGGGGGTATCTATGATGGAGTAGATGACATTCGTGGACAGCTACGATGGAGTAGAGGACCTTCGTGGACGTCTACGATAGAGTATATGACCCTAGGGGATATCTATGATGGAGTATATGACATTCGTGGACAGCTACGATGGAGTAGATAACCTTCGTGGCATCTACCATGGAGTATATGAACTTAACGGTCATCTACGATAGCGTAGATAACCTCCATTGACATCAACGATTGAGTGGATGACCTCCATGGACATCTACGATGGAGTAGATAACCTCCATGGATATCTACGATTGAGTTCATGACCTTCGAAGGCATCTTAGATGGAGTAGATGACCTTCATATGACCTTAATAGACTTCTACGATGGAGTAGATGACCTCTTTGGACGTCTACGGTAAAGTAGATGTCTTCTGAGGATATCTACTATAGAGTAGCTGTCTTTTCTAAACACCTGCTAGATAGTAGATGCCCTTTTCGAACATCTACTATAAAGTAGATGACATTTACCGCGGAGTAGATCACATCTTGGGCTATCTACTATAAAGTAAATAGGTTTTTTGGGAATCTACTATAGAGTAAATGGCCATCTCTGACTATCTTGAACATCTCCTATAAAGTAGATGACATCCCTGATCCTCTACAAAAGAGTAGATAGAGCAGTAGTAGTGCTCATCCTTCCTCTTTACCCTGGAATGCCTACTTTTTGTCTCATGCATGTTTTTTATGTCGTTTTTTAACTCTTCCTTCTTTACTGTTCTCCTGAAAATTTAATTGAGAAAATTGTATTAATGTGTCTCTTAAATATTTTCTCTTTCTCTCTCCCACCACTCTCGCCATCTGTAGACCATTGTGTGCAAAGCGAAACGCTGAGGACCGAATTAACTTGTTAAAGCTCTTGAAGGAGGGCGCCATCTTTTGCTCCGAACGTTATCCAGAGGATGCTGAGGCCATTGATGCGGAAATCCGTCGGCAATTGAATGATGAATTGCACAATAATCACAACAACAGCATGACAATCGAACAGCAGCAACAGCAACAACAGGTACAAAAGGATACAAAGAACACAACACATACAACAACAACAAATCGCAAAACTAATACAACAACCACGAAACAAAATCAGGAACAAACAATAACTATTGTGGTAACCGATACAAATCTAAAGAACGACAACATTACAACTACAACAGCAACAACTACAGGAAACAACAAAACTCACGACATATGACTACCGATTTTCGCCAGTATCACCTGAAATCTAGAGAATAATAGCTGTAAGGATAAGGGTTAAGCGGATGAAATGTTGAAGTAGAATAAGCAAAATGTGTTTTTATTTAAATTTGAAAAAAAATATTGAAGATTGAATTCAAGGACTACGGATATTGCCAAGCATAACAAAGGGGAGTGCAAACGGGCAGTGTACTACCAAAAGCTGTAGGAAAATGGTAGGGAACTATGATTTTTGCTATTGAATGCTCATTTCATGTGTTAAAAAAAAGGCCTAGGTCACCTCTGGTTTAATTGCGGAAATGAAAAAAAAAATTAATTAAGGATACGTTTTTTATTAACAAACTGAGAAAAAAAAATTAAATTGCATTTATGTCCTGTCTTTTTTTCTCTGTCTCACTGAAATTAATTAAATCGGAGCACTTCAAATGTCAATAATAAATGTGTTTTTTTTTGGGTGTACAACAAGTGTATTGCTTTAGATTTAGACACTGCAACAACAACAACAATAGTATTAATAATAACAACAACAACAAATTGCTAATTCCCAAAAACCACAAAACCAACAACAACACCACTGCGCAACAAAAACAACAACAAACCAACATCACTCCGAATGGTAAATCCATGTTAGACAGGTCGTAATGGAAATTGGTCTTGATTCCAACAAAAACAACAACAACAACGACAAAAAGATCCTAAATTTTAAAATTGAAATGAATTCCAATTAAACATTTTTACGGTTTTGATTTCAGCAGACCTATTTAATTAGTAAAACATTTGCAAAAAACAAACAAGAGAGCCGTTGAAGAAGAAGAGGAGGAAGAAAAACACACGCACACACACATAGGTTGGCTAGCTACACCATTTCCGGAAAAAGGGGGATTTTTGAAATTAAAAAAACAACAACAAATTTATTTTTATTTTTTTTTACGGTGGAGTAGATGACCCCAGTGGCAATTTAAAATGGAGTAGATGACCCCAGTGGACATCTACGATAGAGTAGATGAACCCAGTGGCCATCTACGATAAAGTAGATGTCTCCAGTGGCCATCTACGATTGAGTAGATGACCCCAGTGAACATCTACGACAGAGTAGATGACCCCAGTGGACATCTACGACAGAGTAGATGACCCCAGTGGACATCTACGACAGAGTAGATGACCCCAGTGGCCATCTACGGCGGAGCAGATGACCACAGTGGCCATCTACGATGGATTAGATAACCCCAGTGGACATCTACGACAGAGTAGATGGCCCCAGTGGACATCTACGATAGAGTAGATGAACCCAGTGGACATCTACGACAGAGTAGATGTCCCCAGTGGACATCTACGACAGAGTAGATGAACCCAGTGGACATCTACGATAAAGTAGATGTCACCAGTGGCCATCTACGATAGAGTAGAAGGCCCCAGTGGCCATCTACGCCAGAGTAGATGTCCCCAGATGCCATCTACGATAAAGTAGATGTCACCAGTGGCCATCTACGATAGAGTAGAAGGCCCCAGTGGCCATCTACGCCAAAGTAGATGTCCCCAGTGGTCATCTACGACGGAGTAGATGTCCCAGTGGGCATCTACGCTAGAGTAGATGTCTCCAGTGGCCATCTACGCCAAAGTAGATGTCCCCAGTGATCATCTACGCGAAAGCAAATGTCCCCAGTGACCATCTACGATAGAGTAGATGTTCCCAGTGGCCATCTACGCCAGAGTAGATGTCCCCAGTGGCCATCTATGTTAAAGTAGATAACTCCTGTGAACATCTACAATAGAGTAGAAGTGACCCCAGTGGCAATCTATAATAGAGTAGAAGTCCTCAGTGGTCATCTACAATAGAATAGATGTCTCCAGATGCCATCTTCGATAGAGTAGATGTCCCCAGTTGCCATCTAAGATAGAGTAGGTCGCCCCAGTGGCCATCTACGTTAGAGTAGGTGGCCCCAATGGTCATCTACGCTAAAGTAGATGTACCCAGTGGCCATCTACGCCAGAGTAGATGTCCCCAGTGACCATCTACGATAAAGTAGATGTACCCAGTGGCCATCTACACTAAAGTAGATGTACCCAATGGTCATCTACGCTAAAGTAGATGTACCCAATGGTCATCTACATCAGAGTAGATGTCACCATTGACCATCTACGCTAAAGTAGATGTACCCAGTGACCATCTACGCCAAAGTAGATGTCCCCAGTGATCATCTACGCTAAAGCAAATGTCCCCAGTGACCATCTAAGCTAGAGTAGATGACCCCAGTGGCCAATTACAAAAGAGTATATGGTACTAGTGACCATCTACGATAGAGTAGATGTCCCCAATGGTCATCTACGCCAGAGTAGATGTCCCCAGTGGCCATCTACGCCAGAGTAGATGTCCCCAGTTACCCTCTACGCTAAAGTAGATGTCCCCAGTGGCCATCTACGCCAGAGTAGATGTCCCCAGTGACCATCTACGCTAAAGTAGATGTACCCAGTGGTCGTTTTCGATAGAGTAGATGTCCCCAGTGGCCATCTACGCTTGAGAAGATGCTCTCAGTGTTCATCTACGCTAGAATAGATGTCCTCAGTTTTCATTTACGCTAGAATAGAGTCCTCAGTGACTATCAAATCTAGAGTAGATCCCCCTATTGGCCATCTACCCTAGAGTAGATGCCCTCAATGGCCATCTACAATGGAGTAGATGACCCCAGTGGCCACCTACGACGTAGTAGATGATCTCAGTGTCCTTCTACAAAAGAGTAGGTGATCCCAATGGTCCTCTAGAGGGTAAAGATGACATAATTTTTGAATTTCGAAAATGGTGTAGTTAGGTCCTACCTAGGTATATAATATATATATATATATGGAAATGTATGGTTAACGTACTATTTAAGGTTACAACTAAAACGAAAAATTAATAAAAAATTGAGGAAAAACATGAATTTGAATGAATTTAAAAGAAAAATCTAATTTTATTGCCAAGTTTTACAAAGCGAAAAAATGCCGAGAAAAAAAAAGGAAGCGAATTAAATCACTACATACATATAAACAACTATATACTAAACTCTCAATAGCATACAGACATACTTGCATTAATATTATCAGACATTTGAAAAATTTTACAAAGCTCTCGCCAAACCGTAGCATCATTAGATCGAAACTCAAACTCAACATCATCCCCTTTAAGACGGAAGAATGAAGAGGTTAATTAAGCTAAGAATTATTTAAAAATTAAGATAACTGTAAACGATGGTTAACGTATTGTTATAGAAAGCATACCAAGACATACAAACATTCTAACACACAAACATGCATAGAGTCTCAATAGGACCCAAATAACAATTAATACAATTTAATAATAATAATACAACAGGAAACTACTATACACTTTCAAACACCATCCATATATATATGAAAAACAAAAACAAATAATTAATAATAAAAAAATACTAAAAATATTAATTAGAAAAAGAAAGGAAATGGTAACCACTTCTATTTACCGAGAATTACCAACAACAAAAAAGCAGCAGCAATTCGTATTAAATACAGACATACATACAAACATAACATCACATATACATTTATAATAGCCCCTAAAAGTATACAATAGAACAATGAACATGAACTTATATAGATTAATTATATCTGGAGTAATTAAGACAACTTCGTACGGACAAAACATAAACAGAACAAAGTAAATAATACTCTAACTGCAATAAATAAATATATTCTACATCTTTATTACTTGAATCAGAGAGGAAAAGTTGAAGAGAGAGAGAGAGGGAGTTTGATGTTGGAAATCCCCTTTTTGTCACCATGACACCACCTCCAATCCCTCCTCCTTCTACTCCCCCTCAAAAAGTAAAGAAATATATATTATAGCTATAGTGCATATTTATACCAACTAACTTAATCCATCATACATCCCGAACATCCAAACACCCATACATACATATTTATACGTATAAGTGTGTGAAGAATCACAAAAACCCCAATACAATGAAATACTCTAGAAATTTATTCAAAAAAATACTCTTTAAGAAGACAAGAAAAAAGAAGAAGAACAAAAATTTAGATGCTAACTAAAAACGTAGAAGCTTCAAAGCGCAAAACAAATCTTTGGCTTAAGGATAGAGCAAATTATCATCTTTGTCCCTTTTCTAAGTTTCGTTAAAAATTTTGTTTTTTTTAAAAATTGCTATTATTTTTTTTAAATTTTAGAGAACTGGAAAATTCTGGTCGCCCTCGAAGAGAAAATGAGAATGAGGTCTGATATCTAAGGGAAGAATATAAAAGAATATGCAACATAAAACGAAAAACCTTAAAGAGATACCTATCTATAGCATTGAGGTAGTCAGGATAGTCCCACACCCCCATTTTGACCACCTCAAATTGAAAACATCGTTGATATATACAATGTCAAAAAATTAGACCTATGGTAAGAAGGCCCCTTGAATGTTAGACCATGAAAGAGGGGCTATAAGGAGAGATTACTTTAAAGACATTTATATAGGAAAGATCTTCTCCTTTCTAGGATCTCCTTTCAATATAGTACCTCTTAAGGGAAGGCTGTTCCGCATACTCCCAAAGAGACTCTGTCATAAAGACCCCTTTAAGTGTATTCTCTCAGTAGCTGGCTATCAAAAGGACAATCTTTCTTTTGATGAAACAAGAATTTTAGAAGGTATCTCTATCGTAGAAGGCCACAGGAGTCACCGACACCAACATGGATGACCTCTGAAATCATCTAATCCAACGTAGATGCCCACTTATCTTATCTACTCTATATTAGATGGCCACTGTGGACAGCAAAACTTTCGTAGATGCCTATTTGTGTTATCTATACTATCGTAGATGTTCCATAGAGCCATAAATGTTATAGTAGATGGAACCTGGAATTATCTACGTCATAGTGGATGCCTACTAAGGTCATCTACTTTAAAGTAGGTGTCTCCAGGGGCCAAATGTTGTGCATAAAGTTTATATACCCTGACGGAAATGATTTCTAAAGTCATTTACGCTATCGCATATGACCACTGGGGTCATTTGGGATCTACTACGCTATCATGGATGTCTACTAAGGTCCTCTTCTTGAAGGTAGGTGTCTCCTAGGGTCAAATTCTGTCCAGAAAGGTAATATATCCTAACGTAGAGGACCCCTGAAATTTTCCACTCTATCGTAGATGACTATCTATTCTAACGTAGATGACCTTTTCAATGATTTACTCTGTCGTAGATGTCGACTAAGACCATCTACTCTATCGTAGATGCCAATATAGGTTATCTATTCTTCCGTAGATGACAAGTGGGGAGATCTACTCTATCGTAAACGTCCGGGTCTACTACTCGGGTATCTAATCTATCGAGTCTCGGGTATCTACTCTATTGAGTGGATGACACTGGGGTCATCTCTATCGTAGATGGTCATTAGTGTCATTTTTTCTATCGTAGATGACATCGTAGACGGTCAGTGGGTTCAGCTACTTTATCGCACATAGTCGACGGGGCCTTCTTCTAACGTAGATGTCTCCTGGAGCCATCTAACAAATCGTAGATGGTCACTTGGGTCAGCTACTTTATCGTATGTGGCCTCTGGGACCTTCTAAAAAAACCACTGGAATCATCTACTATTGTAGATGGCTTCCAGGGTCATCTACACTATTGCAGATGACCGCTGGTGCCATCTATTTTTCGTAGATGGCCACTGGGGTCATCTACTTTTCCGTAGGTGGCCACTGGGGTCATCTACTTTTTCGTAGATGCATGCTGGGGTCATCTACGTTTTCTAAGATAACCACTGGGGTCATCTGCGCTATCGTGGATGTCCACTAAGGTCATAGATGCCCACTTAGACCATCTACGATACTGAAAATGGCCACTGGCGTGACATATCCTTTCGTAAATCACCACTTGGTTCATCTACGTTATAGTAGATGGCCCCTGGGCACATCCTCACTACTGTAGATGTTCACCAAGGTTATCTAACCTTACGTAGCGTGGTCACCTACCACTTGGCTCATCTACGGTATTGTAGATGGCCAGTAAGTTCATTTTCGCTATCGTAGATGGCTACCTAGGTCATATACTTCGCCATAGATGGCCTCTAGAGTCATCCACGCTACCGTAGATTTTTACTAAGGTTGTCTACCCTCAGCGCGGTCACCTACCACTCGGCTCATCTACGATATTGTAGATGGCTACTATGGTCATCTACAGTATTGTAGATGGCCACTAAGGTAATCTATGGTATTGTAGATGGCCACTAAGGTTTTCTTCGTTTTCGTAGATGGCCACTTAGGTCATCTACTCCGTAAAAGATGGCTTCTGAAATCATCCGTGCTATCCTAGATTTTTACTACGGTTGTCTACCATTACGTAGCGGGATCATCTACCACTCGGCTCATCTACGATATTGTAGATGGCTACTATGGTCATTTACGGTATTGTAGATGGCTACTATGGTCATCTACGGTATTGTAAATGGCCACTAAGGTTTTCTTCGTTATCGTAGATGGCCACTTAGGTCATCTACTTCGTAAAAGATGGCTTCTGAAATCATCCGTCTATTTTAAGTATCGGACCTCTGAAGACTTCTACAGCATCGTAGATGGCCGCTAAGTTCATGTAATCTATCTTAGAGTGCCGTCGGGGTCACCTTCTCTTCAGAAAATGGCCGTTTGGTTCATCTACGGTATCGTAGATGGCCACTAAGGTCATATCTGGTATTGTATATGGCCAGTGAGGTCATCTTCGCTATCGTAGATTGTCACATATGTCATCTACCCCGCCATATATGACCACTGGAATCATCCGTGCTACCATAGATGTTTATAAAGGTTGTCTACCCTAACGTAGCTGACCTCTAGAGACTTCTACAATATCGTAGATGTCCGCTAAGTTGATCGACTCTATTTTAGAATGCCGTCGGGTCACCTTCTGTACAGTAAATGGCCGCTTGGTTATTTACGGTATCGTAGATGGCCACTAAGGTCATCTCCGGTATTGTATATGGCCAGCGAGGTCATCTTCGCTATCGTAGATTGCCACTTATGTCATTTTCCCCGCCATATATGACCACTGGAATCATCCGTGCTACCATAGCTGTTTATAAAGGTTGTCTACCCTAACGTAGCTAACATCTAGATACTTCTACAATATCGTAGATGTCCGCTAAGTTGATATACTCTATTTTAGAATGCCGTCGGGGTCACCTTCTCTTCAGTAAATTACCTGTTGGTTCATCTACAGTATCGAAGATGGTCACTAAGGTCATCGGTGGTCATCCATTCCGAAGTAGATGGCTACTGGCATCATCTATCCTATCAGTGATGTCTACTTTTGCCATTTACTCTATCGTGTTTGACTATTGCATCATCTGCTCTATCGCTGATGTCCACTGGGGTAATATAATCTGTCGTAGATGACTTCTGTAGTCATATACTCCATCGTAGATGTTCGTAAAGGTCATTTACTCTTTCGATGGGATCATCAATTTAATCGTAGACGACCCATACACTATCGTACATGTCCACTTGTGTGTCTTCCACTGATGTGTAGATGGTCTCCATTTGTGTCTTTTACTGATGTGTAGATGGTCTCATATCGTCGTAGATGACATCGTAGATGTCACTTGGTCCATCTACTTTACAAATAGGATCCTCTATATTGTCGGACCGTTTTCCTTAATATATCCGTTAAGGGTCGTAGGGCGACTAAATAAATTACTGAGGGATTTTTCGAAGTATTTACTATTCCAAAAAATCTATAATTTCAATTTTCTTAAAAAAAAATAGATTCTGAATTGAAAAAAATTGGAAATTGCTTCAAACGGGAATGAAAATAATAATTAAAAAATCTGAGCTTCCCTATTTCCAAAAGAAGTAATAAAAGAATGGAAAACTAAAAAACTAATTGGCAAACATTTTGCCTACCTTCCTATTCGATTTTTAATTAATTTAATGGACTTTTTGTTTTGAATATTTAATTTGAAAAAAAAAAAAAAATAAAAAAAATCCTAAGACTGACAATTAAATTGATTTTACATAACAAGAAAAACAAGCAGAAAATGGAAAAACTCGAACTCGAAATGGATATGTATTATTTTAATTAAGAAAAAAATAGCAACAAATAATTGGCAATTGTGAAAAATTTACAAAAAAAAAAAAAAAAAAAAAAAAAAATGGAGAAGAATAAAAAAAAAAATATTTAGAGCATGTGTGTGTTGAATCAATATTATTGAAATTATTGCCCGTTTGCCTAAATTACCAGCCGAGTAGATAATGCAAATTCTAAAAACCATAAAAAACAACCAACCAAACCTAGAGAAAAAATATATATGGAAATAATTTTATTTAATTAATTTACTGCCAAACAAAAATAAATATTAAAAAAAAACAGAAAAAAATTTTACACAATTTTGCCAAGGTTTTAATTACAATTAATTAGAAATAAAAAAGATAAACTTCCCCAGCTTAACAACAACAACAAAAAATAATAACAATGGATTATGCATGCAGAAATTAAATTAAAAAAAAAAAATTAAAAACAAAAAACTTGAAATAACAATAAATAATTATTGACATCAGTGTCAACAAACCATCGAGACCAATTATGATAAATAAAAAAAATAACAAACACACATGTATTTTTTTTTAAATTTCATTTTTAATTAAACACAATTACGTATTACTTAAATGGTAATTTGAAAAAGCAAAAAAAAAACACACATTGAAAATTTTTAGCTAAAATTGAAATTTAACACACACACCCACACAAAATGTTTTTAAATGTTAGGTATTAAAATAAAAATCATATGTTTTTTGATATATAAAAAAATTGAAAAAAAAAATAAAAATAATAATTAAATTAAAAAACAAGCAAACAAACTCTTGAAAATCAACAGCAACTACGTAAATGTGTGGTAGTCACAATAATAATAATGAAAAAAAAAAAAAAAAAACAAATACTTGTAACTCACACTAAAAAGCATGCACATTCCACCACGCCCCATTATCACACACAGATCCTCGCCCCCACACTCACACCCACACACCAGCAGAGAAATTGTCAAACAATTTCAAAAACAAAAATAATTCACTTCAAATTTTTGCAAATTAATTTTGTTTCACTTGAAGAAGAAAAAACAACAACAACAAAATTTGCAAAAACAACAATAAAAAGCAACAACAACAATCGAATTAATTCAATTCCTAAAATAAATCATTCAAATGTTGCCGAAAATGGGTGTTAGAGCATAACCCACACTTCTCACCCATACACTCATACCGACGCAGCCAACTTGTGTGTAGCTGCTGCATCATACCCATACATCCATCCACTCATTATTTTAATCTCGATGTTAATGAAACGTCAAAAATACCACCCTCACCACCACCACCACCACTACTACCAGCAAGACCCTTCGCTCAAAAAAGGAAAATCTATAGAAAACAACAACAACAAAAATATTTGAGAGGAAACCAAATCCATCAATAAAGTGTTAAGAAAACAAGTGGAAAAAATATGTCTTTCTTTGGAAAGAGGGAGGGATGGAGGGGTATTTACAAGAGGTGAGTATGAAAAATCGAAAAAAAGAAAACCTTTTAAAAACAATTCAAGGGTGCCATATAGGTCTTTTAAGGGTTTACCTACACTATCGTAGATGGCTCCTGGGGACATCTACTCTATCGTAGATGGTCACTGAGGCCATATACGCCAACCTAGATGTCCACTAGGGTCGTTTACCCCATTGTAGATGGACCCTAGGTTTATCTACTCTATCGTAGATTACCTCTAGGGACATCTACTCTATCGTAGATTACCTCTAGGGACATCAACTCTGTCGTTGATGACAATTGCGGACATCTACACTATCATAGATGGCCACTACGGGTATCTACTTTATCGTAGATGACCACTGGGGACATCTACTCTTTCGTAGATGACCACTGGGGACATCTACTTTATCGAAGTTGGCCACCAATGCCATTTACTCAACCGTAGATGACATTAGGGACATCTACTCTATCGTAGATGACCACTGGGAAGGTCTACTCTATCGTAGATGGCCACTGCAGACATCTACACTTTAATACATGGCCACTACGGACATCTACTTTATCGTAGGTCATTTACCCTATCATAGATGGGCCCTAGGTTCATCTACTCTATCGTAGATGACCAGTGGGGACATCTACTCTATCGTAGATGACCACTGGGGACATCTACTCTATCGTAGATGATCACTAGGGATATATACTCTATTGTAGATACCCAATGAGGTCCTCTAGTCAACGGTAGATGACCAGCGGAGACATCTACTCCGTCGTAGAAGGCCTCTGGGGACGTCTTCTCTGTCGTAGATGACCACCGGGGACATCTACTCCGTCGTAGAAAGCCTCTGGGGACGTCTTCTTTTTTTTTTTTTTTTTTTTTTTAAATTATTTATTCTTTATTGAAGTGTATATTAAAATTTACAATACATTTTCCCGCGAAGCTTTTAGCTTGTCTGCAGGATGATCTTAGTAGTAATTTATATATATACATTTTACAATTTTCATTTCAACAGTTCAACTGTAGGGTATCATACATTTCCAAAAAATCTTATATTCGAAGATTATAAGCTTATTAAGTGGTTTTTTAATAGTTTTTTTCTTTTCATTTTATTTCTAATATTAAATATTTCAAGGGGCAGTTCATTTAGGGCACTTGGAAGGCTGACCTCAAGAGCTCTTCTGCCATATTCGTTTTTGAAACTGGGTATCTTGTATCTTCCTTGTGCCTGTCTTCTTGTGTTTATATTGTGGTCGAAATGTTGCAACAGCGAGTTATCATTAGAGAATTCGTTTGTGATTACAGATTTGTAGAGATTTTTTATGTTGAGAATATGCAGCTTTTTATGTATATTGTTGTTGTTACATTGTCGTGCTGTGGAGCGTTGAGTACCTACAGAGTTTGAATGTTGTTCGTATAAATTTGATTTATTAAGGCTTTTCTGAAGTATTTTCAAAACTCTGTTTTGGGCAGTTTGTAATATTGAAATATTCGCTGAATTTCCCCAAGAAGTTATTCCATGCCTCAGATACGATTCTGCTAATGAAAAATATGCTTGTCGGATGACATGATATGGAGCACAATTGCTTAGGTGATAAATGGCATATGATGATTTTCTAAGTTTTTTTATGACGTTATCAATGTGTGACTTCCATTTAAAGTGAGTGTCCAATATTACACCAAGATATTTATATGTGTCGACTACTTCTATCTTAGTTGTGCAGTTATCGACATATTGGTCGTTGGTTGTATCATTTGTATGTATACATTCATAATTGTGAAATATTATTGAAATATTTGTTCCTGGTGTGTGTCTCGTTCGAAAGTGCATAAGCTTCGTCTTACTAGCATTAATGACCAGGCCATTATCGTGACACCATCTGGTTAGCTTATTCATCTCCGATTGCATCCTTCGTTCTGCAGAACGTATGGATGTATCTGATACTAATATTGCAGTATCATCAGCATACGAGAAGGCAATGCTATCGTTGAGTGTTTTGATCATGTCGTTTGTGTATATGATGAAGAGAATAGGTCCGAGTTTAGATCCTTGCGGGACACCATACTCTGAGGTGTATTTATCACTTGTGGTGTTGTCTATTTTGACTTTAAACGTGCGGCATTTTATGTAGTCTTCAAACCATTTTAGACATTGGCCTCTTATTCCGTTTTTTTCTAAAATGCTCAGTAGCCTTTGATGTGACAGAGTGTCAAATGCCTTGCTGAAATCAATGAACATTGCTAGGCAGTGTTTGTTTTCAGATAAATTCTTGTTGATTTCGTTTGAAAAGTGTCCCAAGAGTTTATTAATGCTTTTTCCTTTTTGAAATCCATACTGGCTTTTATTTATAATACTATATTTTTTCAAAAAATTATTTAGTCTTCGTGTCACAATCTCTTCTAAAACTTTTTCAATGATGGGGAGAATTGATATTGGCCTATAATTTTCGTATGACAATTTAGGGCCACTCTTGTAAATTGGTCTAATTATGGACGTTTTCAGGATATCAGGAACAACTGATTCGAAGAAGCTTTTGTTTATCAAAGTTGTTATCACAGGTGCTAGTATTTCAGAATTATTTTTGAGATCGATTGGTCTTATACCATCACAACCTGGACCCTTTTTTGTATTTAGGCTATTCAAAACGTTTGCTACTTCTGCAACATTTGTATTTTCTAAATATATGGAATTTGGTACGCTATTTTCAAATGATGTCAGTGTAGTCTTTGTACAGTTGTGTACAATGTTTTCAACATTTCTTTTAAACTGTTTTGCAAAGTTTTCTGCGATTATCACTGTGTTTTGATTGGCAAAATTAATTTTGAGGGTCTCGTCTATGCTGTAACTCTTCTTTCCAATTACCTCGTTTATCGTTTTCCAAGTGTCTCGAATATTATTTCGGCTTTGGATGAATTTGTTGTAATAATATGCATTCTTAGCAAATATGATCGTTTTATTAAGTTGGTTGTTAAAAGTTTTGTAGAGTCTTTGATTGAGTACTGTTTTGGATTTTCGGTATTTCTTGTACAACTTATCTCTCACACAACAACATTTTATTAGTTCATCAGTCAACCAAGGATGCCCATTTCTGTTTTTCATTTTGGATTTCATTTGTTTAGTTGATTTTTCGTATATTTCAGAAAATGTCTTGAAAATTTTATTAAAAAGGTCATTTGACCCGTTAGCTTCAACTACGATTTGGTTTCAATCGATTTTTCTTATTTCATTATTTACTTTTTTATTATTAGGTTTTTCATTCATGGATTTTTGATTAGATTTGTTGGTTGTTACAACATCTATTTCCATACTCCCAAATATTGAAAAGTGGTCCGAAATCGTTGTGGTTATTATGGCGGTTTTAATATTGTTTGTTGCATTATGTCTTATAAACAAGTGATCGATGCAACTTTTTCTACCAGTACGATCATCCTCTCGAGTTATCCCAGTTACAAGACACTCAAGGCCATTGGATGCGCACATGTCTAAATAATTTTTAACCGACAAGGTGTTTGCGTTGATGTCAATGTTCATATCGCCGACTAATATGATGTCTTCTTTTTTATTTACTTTATTTATGCTGCAGTCCAGTTCTTTAATAAAGTTTTTGATGTTCGAACAGGGAGGACGGTAACATGGAATTAGTGTTGTGGTTTTGTTGGAACCTAATTTCATTTGTATTTGCATAGATTCAAAGTGTATTGTTTTTGTGGTAATAATTTGAAAAGACATTTGATCTGCTATGTACACTGCAATACCTCCTCCTCGGTTTTCTCGATTTAGGAATGTGGAATTGTAGCCATTTATTTTGTAAAATTGAATTTCATCATCATTTATATTAGTTTCAGTTAAAATTATTATTTCAATTTTGTTTAATATGTCCTTTATTCTGGTTAGAAATTCGGTAAAATTCTTCCGAAGTGATCGAATATTCATACAAATTAAAGATATTGTTTTGGTATTTATATGTTCATTAAGTTCATTAAAGGTGTCCAATAGTGTATTCGTATAATTCATTTTTTGTTTATTTGTCATCATCTAGTCAACCGTATTTGTAATATTTAATTTACGGTTTTATAAAAAAAATTACTTTTTTCATAAAAAAAGTTTCGAAAAAATTAGGCTTTGTTTCTTGTTTTTATTATTTTGTAACAGAAGTATATTCTTCAATTTGTAAAGTGAAAAAAAAAAAAACTTTATTTATTGATCTGCATTGATCTTTTCAATGTCTGATTGGTTATTTATAATTATTTGCGCACAATTTTCATTTCTTTTCGCATATATGCGACCATCTTTCACCCACACATATCTCCAACCATTCTCCTTTGCCTTTGTTTTTGCCATCCATAAAATACGCCTATTATCCGCAGTCAGTTCATCGTTTATATAGATGAATCTGTTTGTTGGGTTATTATTTTCATCATCGAGTACATTTTCATCCACTCGATGTCTCTTCATCTTTCTCATTATCTCCTTTTTCTTATTTAGAGAATAGAACTCCACTATTATTTTGTTTTTCGTTTTTATACTGTAGGCATTATCAATATGAGCGTCGGTTACATCGACGCCTACAGAGGCTGCAACTTTTTTTACCACCGCCTCTGCTCCCATTACAACTGCATTAGCATTAGTTATTTCGATGTTTTTCCCTAACGCTTTTTGCTCAAGTCTTCTTATCTTGTTGTCCATTTCTCTAATTTGCTTGCTTTTCTCAAGGTCTTTATTCTGAAGTTCAACGACCTGAGAAGAGATATTTGAGAGTGTATTATTTATTTTGTTGAGACTCTCAGCCATGTAGTTGTTAGATGCGGTCAATGCGTTCATGTTGTTTATCATTTCTCTCATTGCTGATTTGATTTCTCCCATATCAACTCTCAGTTCAGCATAGTCACTGTTATTGTTGTTACCTTTCG